GGAGGCGCGCGGCCACGTGGCCAGTGGGGTCGACCGGGACACCCACCTGGTGTGGTGCGAACAAAGGGAGCCGCTGCCCCGCTTCCCTGGGCAAAGGCTGCGAGTTTTTCAGGGCGCACCCACGGGTGGGGGCTCAGCCCGGCCCTCGTGCGTTCTCTCCCTCCCGAGTGATTTCCCTCCTCGAATGGTTGCCAGCTCGGCAGCCTGAGCCCTGAAGCGTGCCCTCCCTTTTCTGGCAGCCTCGCGCCTGCGGGGCCACGCACCCCACGGGGGGCAAGCGGGCCTTGTGAGGCCACAGGTGTCCCTGGCTGCATGTCCTACTTTCTGGGCTCAGGAAGCCCGGGCCGCTGAAGGGGAACCGGAGACTGGGGCCCCGGCCCCTCTGCAGGTGCGCGGCCTCCTCCCTTTCCTGAGAGCAGGCCTGAGGGTCACGCGGCCACTCCACGCGTCTTTTCCCTTCTGGGGCTGTGGTTCACGCACCGTGGGACGGAGGCTCAAGGAAGGACAAGGGGAGACAGGGCTGGGGCTGGCCCCGCACTGCTGTCCCCACTGCGGGGGTTCTTCTGATTCAGGGTGAGGTCCTGTGTCAGCCTCAGGCATGCAGGCACACAGCTCCGGCTCTCCATGCTCCAAACCTCCCAGGTGGCCCTGGGGGCTGCCAGTGCTGGTGGTCAGTGGCCAGCAGGGCCCTGCTCTCTGCAGCCTGTCGGGGGCTGGGCCAGCTACAGGGGAGCCCTGGCTGGCTCCCAAGGAGGTTGGAGACTCGTCCAGCACCCTGAGGGCTTCTACAGAAAGTGAGCGGCAGCGGCCGGGCTTGGTGGCTCACGCCTGTAATTCCAACACTCTGGGAGGCCAAGGCGGGCAGATCACGAGGTCAAGAGTTCTAGACCAGCCTGGCCAATATAGTGAAACCCCATCTCTACTAAAAATACAAACATTAGCCGGGTGCGGTGGCGCGTGCCTGTAGTCCCAGCTACTGGGGAGGCTGAGGCTGGAGAATAGCTTGAACCCAAGAGGCAGAGGTTGTGTGGGAGACCACAGAGCACTGAGAGCCCCCCAGCCCATCCCCAACTCCGTCTGTGGATTCCCATGAAGCAAGTGAGGGACGCTAACTTCAAATGCCTGCGCAGCAGTGACTCCTGCCTTGGGGACTGCAGCCTGTCTATGCGGTGTGATCTCTGCTTGTCACGTTTATCCAGCCTGCACACCTTTGAGCTAGGCCAGCCGATGGCACTGTCTGTATTTTACACGGGTGTAAACCGAAGCTGCAAAGGTCCCGTGATTTGCCGAGGCAGCATGGCAGGTTAGGGCTGGGAGCAGCGTTCTCCCATCGTCTTCCCAGAGAAGCTGTCTGCCTGGTTCGGAAAGGTGGCCTGAGGGTATACGGCAAGGCCTGTCACTTCGCCTAGCGGGGTACCGGCTGCCTCCACCCCTGCACTCTGCTGTGGGCAGAGTGTGACCAGGCCTGGGTGCCAGGCAGGGGGCGGGGGGGGACAGAGGCAGGACTTTGGAGGAGTGGGGGTGGGACATGAACCCCCGACAAGTCACCCTCCTGCTGGTGCTGGTTGCAGAGCACTATGTCCGTGTGGAGGACATGCAGGGACTCTTGGAACTGCTTTTTGGCGGGGTAGTGTAGTGTGTTCCAGGCAGACGGGCATCAGTTTACATGTGTGTTTCTCGTCCTTGCAGGTACCTGGCCCTGGGCACCCAGGTGGCAGGGATATCTTGCTGTTATCCTTTGTGGGGGTGGGCATGGAAGGCCCAGTGGTGACCGCTGTCCTGGGTTGGCCTCCACCCTGTCAGCGCCTGACATGCGCACCCCGACCTGCATGAGGCCCAGGTGCCCACCTGGCTTCCAGGGGTCACTTTGGCCAGGTTCACTGGTATCCAAGGCTCTCACTCCTGGGAGGGCTCCTCCCATGGCACTCTCGGGAGACACTTGCTCTGTGGGTGGGCTTTCTGCTCTGACCCCTACCCGCTACCAGGCTCTGAGGAAGAGGCCACGCTGTCCCCGACACCACCGGTGTGCAGGTGGCTGTGGGTGGTGACACAGGCAGGCCAGGCTCTGGCACAAGCACTTCATACTACATTTCCCAAGTAGGACAGATAAACAACGCTATGGCCAAGCAGACGCCCCAGGGAAGAACCTGGTTTTAATGGGCCTGGCGCTCAGGGAGGCCTTCGGTCAGCAGGGTCGCCTCAGCACTTGGGAGCCTGTCCTGCAGCTCCCTGCTTCCACCCTGCACGCTGCGCCCACACCCCCCCACCACGGAGGTGAAAGCGCAGGCACCATGCGGAAGCCCCGAGGGGGGTGGGGCGGGGCGGGGCGGGGGGAGGAAGTCAGTCCTTAATGTTATAGTTACGGATCTTGGGGGGCCTCTGGCAGCCTTTAACTTTTGCGGGATGAGACCGGGAGGCTCCTGTGGGCTTGGCCTTTGCCTGGGCTGCCGTCTTCATCCCTGGGGTGGCAATGCCTGCCTGCATCTTGACGGGGCTCCTATCGACTGCTGGAGGAGCCGGGAGCTCTATCAGGCAAAGAGACACGAGAAGAAAACAGCATGCGTCAGGAGGGGCAGGAGGCTGTGCTCGCACGCAGTGCACATGTGCAGTGCTTCTGTGTCCCCGGCCAGCGGGGGCCCTGTGACCCTTGGCCTGGCTGTCCTCCAGGAGTCCATGAAGGCCAAAGGATCCTCCTGGAGTGACCAGAGAGCCGTGGCCTCGCCTTGCTCAGTGGGTCCTGCTTGGCAGGGCCTGGGCCTGCCCCTCCACTGGACACCTGGATATCTGGCTCTGAAAATGGTCCTGCCATGGCCGTTTCGTAATGGGTCCCAGGAGGGGGCGGGCTGCTGCGGTAAATGGTTGACTTGAAGCCTCTCCTCCCAGGCCGCCCGGGTGTCCCTACCCTCTGAGACACATCCCCTGCCCCCGCCTCCTCGATGGCCAGCAGCGCCAGGCTTTCGAGGCCAAAGGAAAGGCCGCGCTAGCGGGTACCATGTGGCCGGGAACAGGCCAAGGGCCCAGGAGTGTGCCACACACAGAGGCTGGGGCCTAAATGCCAGGTAGCCCTTCCAAAGCATCGGCTGAGACCGTCTTCGCAGAGAGGTGTTGTAGGGGATCTGTATCTGGCCAGTTTTTCTCTATTTTTCATTTTTTTAATTAAGAATGTGGGTTTTTTTTTTTTTTTTTTTTTTGTAAAACAGCAGCAAAATGTTACTACAAATCCATGGCAGGGCCCGGCACTGTTGCTGACGCCTGTAATCCCAGCACTTTGAGAGGCCAACAAGGGCGGATCACCTGATGTCAGGAGTTCAAGACTAGCCTGGCCAACACGGCGCAACCCCGTCTCTACTAAAAATACAAAAAATTAGCCGGGCGCGGTGGTGGGCACCTGTAATCCCAGCTACTCAGGAGGCTGAGGCAGGAGAGTCGCTTGAACCCAGGAGGCGGAGGTTGCAGTGAGCTGAGATGGTGCCATTGCACTCCAGCCTGGGTGACAAGGGCAAAACTCCATCTCAAAAAAACAAAACAAACAAAAAATCCACAGTAAGATGTGAGCTCAGCGTCCACTGAGTGGCCACATCGTGGCTGGGGTGAGGTCTAGACGGCTCCAGTGCGTGGCTGAGTGTGGCCCGGTGAGCAGTCTGGACAGGCTGACCTGGGCAGGTCAGCTGGCGGCCAAGGCCTCCTGCTGGAGCCCAGCCTGTGTGGTCTGCGTGCAGCCTGGCTGACTGGGAAGCATCTGTGCTTTGGGGTTGCCGGCAATGACGCACTGTTTCTCTGCTGGGCTGTGCAGTGCACATGGGGGCAGCCACACGCTCCCGGCCCTGGCCCTGGGCCCCTCCTCGCATCTCAGCTTCTTCCACTCTGATCTACTCTTGGGGTCTCAAGACACCTGGAACCAGTCTTCCTTTCCCTGCAGCCTCGTCGGCGTCACACAGTCCCTGGCCCCCTGCTGGGGTCCTGGGGGGCCCTGGATGCTGCCTGCTCCCTTTGCTTCCAACCCCCAGAGGAATTCCTCCTCTTCACACAAAGGCTCCCACCTTATCTCTTGACAATAATCCCCCCATCCCCACTCCCACCCCCTACTCCCTCCCCCAGCTCCCCACGCCGGCTCACAGAAGGTGGGGTATCCCGTGGAAAGGGCTTCCCACTGGGAAGCTGGTCCTCTGACCAGGCCCTAGTACTCCACTGTGACCCTGAGGGGTCTCCTCACACGCAGGGGCCTTGGTTGTCCCTCTCTAAGGCACAGGGAATCTGGAGGCTTTGCCCAACTTGATCCTCCTGAGACAATGCCTGCGGGGATTTTCAGAAAAAGTGAGCTGAGGGAGGGTGAAGGGCCTGCCTCTTTGCCTGGGAGGCCTGAGCTGGTGCTGCTGGGAGGACCTGGCTGTATCCCGGGGCAAAGCAGGGAGGTGTGAGTGGGGCACAGTCCCTGGGGCAGGGAGGGTGAGCTGGCCCCCTCCCCAGGGCAGGCCGGCCCCTAGCTCAGAATATCCACTTTGCAGGCTCTGGTTTCTTCACTGGTCCTTTTCCTGCCAAGCCCTCCTCAGGGATGGTGGCAGGGAACTGACCAGGAGTCCAGGACCCCAGGGCAGGGTACAGCCCTAGGCCGGAGGCACGGAGCTGGATGTGTCAAGGCGGCTGCCCCAGGCGTGACTCCCTGTGACCCCGGATTCTTCTCCTACCTGATGCTAATCTGAGGTCAACCCAGTAACTGGTCGGTAAAAACACTCTTGGCCTCCACTACTCTCCGCCCCTCCTTCTCGCCTGACCTGTTTTGCCGAGCCTGGCCGGGATTTTGCTTTCTGCATTGGGCTGATTGGGCCAGAGGGAAACCATGTGAACCACAGTTTGCTGGGCACAGCGTGAGAAACGCGCCTCTTGGGTCCTGCACCCCTCCCCCGCCGGCTGCTCGTGCTCTGGCCCCGAACAGAGCTTCTGGAAAGTTCCTGAAACATCCAAGGCCTTGCAGTGATTAACCAGGGGAGGGGGACTGGGGCCTGCTTGCCCCTCCCAGGCTTACCCCGTCCCAGGGCCTGGTGTGTGCTCAGGCAGGGCCACCTGAGCTGGGCTCCATCCCCTCAGCTGGCTGCACTATACTTGGAGGGATTTGGAGACGGAGTCTCACTCTGTCGCCCAGGCTGGAGTGTAGTGGCGCGATCTCGGCTCACTGCAAGCTCCGCCTCCCGGGTTCATGCCATTCTGCCTCAGCCTCCAGAGTAGCTGGGACTACAGGTGCCCACCACCATGCCCAGCTAATTTTTTTTGTATTTTTAGTAGAGACAGGGTTTCACTATGTTAGCCAGGATGGTCTCGATCTCCTGACCTCGTGATCCGCCTGCCTCGGCCTCCCAGAGTGCTAGGATTACAGGCGTGAGCCACCGCGCCCTGCCTTGGAGGCTTGAAGCTGGTGGAATCTCGGGGAGGACACAGCCTGTCCTATTGCAGGGGAGGTGCAGCCCTTGCTCCCATCTCAGCCTGGGGGCATGAGAACTCTGAGCACAAAGGGGACAGAGCTGGTCCCCAGCTTTCTGGCCACCTGTGGGTTTCTTCTCCTTCACCTGAGCCACAGCCCAGCTCTTGACCAAATTGGCCTCTCGTGGCTCATTCTCCAGGCGCTCCGGGCTCTTTGGGTGCCCCTGGGCACACCTACCTGGCTTCCTAGGGCTTTGGGAAGGGCCGGACGGTGAGCTCACGCCTTCCCTGGTTCTCCAGAGCCTGCCTTGGGGCTGGGGAGGGCCTGGCCCTGATGGCAGCTCAGGCCTCAAGTCCATTCTATGGCACAGAGGCCCTTCTGTCTCCCTGTGGCCTCTGCTGTTCTCTGGGGTTCACCCCTGCTCTCCCAAGGGCCCAAGTTCTGCTGGACCCCCTCTGGCTGCCACAGGGCTCCTCACGCACCCAAGATCAACCCTTCTCAAATGCACTGAATTATTTCGAAGTCTCTCGGGAACAAGGCTTTTCCCACCGCTGTCAGCACGGCACCCGGGCCTTCAGTGCAGACAGTGACAGCAAATGTGACTTGGCTCCCCCCACCCCGAATCTCCAGAAGCTGTGTGCACCTTTCCAGGGTCCCCACGCCTGTGAGGCTCACATCTCTGTCTCCCCAGCCCGTGTCAACCCTCACCTGCTAATGCCTCCTAATGGACACCCCCACCCCTGAGCTCCTGGAGCTCAGCCGTGGGGGTCACAGTGGCCCTGGGGCTGCCTTTGTGGGACTGAGTGTGACAACAGAAGAGCAATGGGGTGCAGGGGAGGGAGGCCCAGGTGATCCGGTCCCTATGGCCCCTCCGCATGGGGATGCCCTGGGCCTGCTCTGTCCAGCTGCCTTCCCCGCCTCACTGGCACATGGAGCCCGGAGCCCCCACTGGGCAGATGCACAAGAGGGGAGGGTACTAGGCGCTGCAGGATCCAGGGCTCTGGGCAGTCCTGCCACCCATCACTCAGCCTAGTGAGGCAGGGCCAGCAGGAAACCCCAGATCCTTCAGGCCCCGCCTGCTGGCCTTTGAAGCAGAGGAGAGGTGGGACTTCGGGGGCCTGGGTGCCGACCACAGGCTGACCCCTTGTTCCATGCCAGCACCTCCTCTGGGCGACCGTGGCTCCTCCGGCAACGGCACTGGCGGGTCCCCTGCTGCTGAGCCTGCCCAGGCCTGTCTGCTACAGACTGTCAGTGTTGCCTCATGTGGGCCCCATCCCAGCCCTTGAGAGGGGTCACCCAGTAGTGGGGTGCAAGCTGGGGCCCCAAGGAAGGGAATTTAAGGGAAACACTTCATGGGCATAAGGCTTTGAGAGACGCGGGTCTGTCCCTACCGGAGGCTGCATCGCGGACGGCAGGCACATAGGCCTCACTTGGGCGAGAGGAGACCCAGAGATGCATGACCTTCCTCCTGGGCCGGCTCCCCACCACAGCCCATCGAGCTCAGCCCACAGGAAGGAGAGGTGCCAAGAACCCCAAGCACAGGTGGCTGCAGGCTGGTGGGTGCCGAGGAGGCCGCGAGGAGGCTGGGACGGTGAGAGCCAGGGACGGGCAGCGAGTTGGACAGCCTCTGGGTATCTCCGCACCCGACCCTGTCCTGCCTTTCAGAGGAGAAAAGGCAGAAGGCCCTGAGGCCCCGGAAGGGAAGTGACATGCAGCAGCTGAGCTGGGGCAGCAGGAAGTGGCAGCTGTCTCAGCTGTTTTGGGGGCATGGGAACTGGTTTCCTGGTCCTAAAGTGAGGATGCTGGCCTCATGCCCCTTGGGCCAGGACTCTGCACTGAGTGCTGAGTGCCTGGGGTGGTGTTTAGACAACTTGTGGTCTTTGTTGGCACTGTCTGGGGACAGCAAAAAGCAGCATGGGCCAGTGTGCAGGGCAGATTCCAGGTAAAATTCATGACAAGGGAACTTTCAAAAGGGGCCCATGGGGCCCTCCCAGGTGTGCCAGGCCAGCGCCCATCTCCAGGTGGGCACCCTAGCATCTCAGGCCACAGACCAGCAGGTCACCGCCATGTCCCTGGGGAACAGCACTGCCTGCCACTCACTTTGGCTGA